TATATATCATAATATGAAGGGTAAAGAGAGGGTGCTAACTCTTGATATACGAATATATTATATTCATAATATGGAGGGTAAAGAAAGGGTTTTATCTCTTATAGAGACTTGAAAGGATTTGAGGATGGCATTTACGATATATATATGTAGGGATACATTACTACATACTATGTACACAGTTGAAAAAGATAATACGTAAATATAGGGCAGTGATACACGTCATTGGGTCTACTATTGGTCGTTACGTCACCTATCTAAAGTTAATGACAGGCCTTGAGATGGCAACGGCTCGCAAAGCAATTCGACGGCTCACTTTTTGTTTTTATATAAAACAAAAATTATTATAGTTATATAGTGGAGGACTCAGAAGAACAAATCTCACGGTTCTGCGACAAATGAACTCATTCATTCCTATGACAGGTCACTACCAAGTCGTACCGTCTTATATTTAAAAGTGTATCGGTGCTTGCGAAGGGACTATACAGGTATACTATGCGATCGATGTGTAGCATATAAGAAGGCTTTTACTGTTTATGATCATCTGGAATCCAGGTATACGCTCGAGTACCTGAGCACATACGTTAGTGACACACAACTGCACCTTTTGCGATAAACACTGTTGGCAGGTGTGCCACCCCCACACTTTTATTTTTATGTCCACCATAACTAGCACCACTACTCAGCGTAGTATAGGCCCCCACAACACTACCCTTAAGTTAATAATGGAGGAGTTACAGTCATATTTATCGGGTCCATCCACCGTAGCCCTGGCGCTGCTTGCTGTGGTGACTGTGGGCTGGATCTTGCTGGCTGGGTTCAGTCCCCAAGAGCCGAACTACACGCCCCCCTTTGCAATACAATCCAGTGAACACAAAGCTTCTGTGATAGTACCGGCGTATCAGGAACAGCCGAATATCCGACCACTGTGCGAGCGTGTGTTCAAAGCTACACGGGCTGACGACCTGGCGATTGAGCTGATCATCGTCGACGACAACTCGAATGATGGATCGGAGGAAGTGGTAAAGGAGTTACAGGCTGAAGGGTACGATATTAAGATCGAAGTGCGCACCAAAGTGCGGGGGCTATCAACTGCTGTTATGCACGGCTTTGATAAGGCCAAGAATGAGGTCATGATGGTGATGGACGCCGACCTGCAACACCCCCCAGAAATTGTACCCAAGCTGTTGCGGCCGTTGCTAAGCAACAAAGCACACTTTGCCATAGGCACACGGTATGCTGTGGGAGGGGGTACTGAGAACTGGGCCTTCCACCGACGCCTAATAAGCTGGACGGCCACGGCGCTGGCATGGCCTATAGCGCCTGTGTCTGACCCTATGACTGGGTTGTTTGCAATCCGTAAATCCCTGTACGCTACTGGAAGAGATCTGGATCCTCGGGGTTTCAAGATTGGGCTGGAGTTGATGGTTAAGTGCGCGCCACATCACACGGCTGAGGTGCCGTATCTGTTCGGTGGACGACTTCTGGGAGAGAGTAAGCTGGAGACCAAAGCACAGGTGGACTTTATTGTCCATATGATGATGTTGTATTGGTATAAGCTGCCCACATTAATCACCTCGCCTAAGGTGGTATTCTTCGTAGCTGCTTTAGCTATGGTCACGATGCAGCTAGTGTCCACGGTTTGGGATACGAAAAAGCATGTTTGAGGGTTTCGTCGCAGATTGTCTCCGTTACCACTACGTTATCTAGGTAATGCTTCTTGTAGCGTACTTTTACCCAAGTATATAAATATATATATGTATATCAATATGCAAGTTGAAGTAAATTTAGTGTGAAAATATATATATATATATATATATATATATATATATATATATATATATATATATATACTACTACTACTACTACGAAGAAGAAGAGTAGACGAAAAATACTA